TAAATTTGACTTTAATCGACACAAATAGTACAAATAGACATTTGTCTGATTTTTGTTCGAAATTCTGGTTCCCTTTTTACAGTTTGCTTATGATGTCACTTCTAACAAACAAATAAAATTATACTAATTAAGTCTTAAAAGTTCAGTTACATTGTTCATCGCTATCTATTGAAAACTTTTCTGGTATTGATTTTTATTACAATTCACCCTGATGTTAATCCACGTGTGCAATTTATATACACTTGGCTGTATCAAAGTAAAAATGTATGTTGCTACGTACGACGACGTCGCAGACTGGTTATTTGTTATATAATTTGTCAACTAAAATGGATTTTTAATCGTTGCTATATCTGGTCCGATGCATATGCAATTTGTGTAAATATATATATATATATATATATATATATATATATATATATATATATATATATATATATATATATATATATATATATATATATATATATATAATTCAAAAGCTTGAAAAATATGGTGGCTAATATTTTCGTTTTGGTAACATTTTGCTGTTTATTTCAATTCGTCCAAAGCCGCATACTTGTAAATGATATTCGGTATTAAGGAATTTCAAATGGTCTCTCTTCTCCGTTTGACGAAATTATCATTTATTATCATTTATATAACATACATTTTCAACAAGACTCAGACACTGGGGCCCCGAGTGGCCATTTGGTCTAATGCGCTCACCTTTACGGATCACTACCGTTTTACTTCTGTCTGCATGGTTTTTTGTATCGGGCTCTGCCAATGTGGGTACGTGAGTAAGCTTGCCAGTAGCTTTACGTGGATCGATGGTTTTTTCTGAGTTTTTTCCAGGTTCTTCCTTCTACCTTTGATACTGTCTACCATGCATAACCTATCTTGTGATGAAAATGGCATTAAATCTTACAACAATAACAGTAATACTCAGAACCGAATTGGTAATCGGTCATTCTTAATTCTATTTAGCAAACGAAGAAATAGTTGAGAAAGATTTCATCAAAGGTGACATTACTTAAAGGTTTGGGAACGATACAATTGGATACAGTAAGGAAACGAAAATTAAGACAAATTGAATAACAAAGGAAATTGTCCAAAATGAACATAATGAACAGAAGCAAAAAATTTAATCAAACAGAAGAGAAAATGTTATAAAAAAAACTAAACAAACTTAATGAGGAGAACAGCAGACGACGCAATATAAATATGGTGAAAGACTCAGTGTGAGAATATGAAATCACTTGAGAGTTTGGGAAGGATTGATTTAATCTATGCAAATATCAGAAAACGTTGTGGAAACAAAGAAAACGGACAACAAAAGCGGGCTTATTAAGGTCAAGGATGGCACATTCTTACAACAATGGGATACTTCAGTGTGAGAAGGAAACAACCTATCGAAGAGTCTATGACGTAGTCGGAAGGAATGGTATCCCAGACATAAACCTTGAAAAAGAAGACAGCATTGGAGATGATGAGAGAAGACCTGAAGTTCTTGAATTGTCAGTGAGAGTCGCAATCAAAGAATTTAATCATTTTAGCTGCGTTATTCAAATATTATGGAGAAAAGGCAGAAAAGAGCTTATTCAGCTATGTAAGTGTATACACAACCGGAAAGTGGTCTCACAATTTTGCAAGGTCAATAATAATCACCAAATAAACCAGAAGCAATAGAATGTGCAAGCTAAAGAACACTTAGCTTAATATTGCATGCACAAAAATCATGCGTAAATGTTTAGTAGGTAAAAAGAGACGATTGTAGCAAGCAATTTTGGAGAAGAAGAAAAGGTGGATAGGGCACATATTGATAAGTTAATACCTATTAAGAGAAGTAATATAATATATAATGGATTGAAAGCTACCAAGGCTGAAAGCACAAAATATGCATCTGGCTGGCCTCAAGAATAGAGCGATGTCAAGAGAAGAATGGTAAAGATGAATGCCTACAAGCTCCAATATTGTAGAAGATTGATGAGAAATTCATCGCTTTGGCTAGCATTGTAGTTTGAGAACAGACTCTTCTCTCCCCCAGAGAAATATAATGAAAAGGATAATGCATACGTTTTTTTTAATCTCGGCCTAAACCTCAGATGGTCAGGACATCAGTTTATCACCTGTATAAGACCTTAATCTCCAAGATTCTTTCTATTGTATTGGGTCCAAATGTTTTCGGTGGTTTGTGAGAAAAAGTTACTGATGAATTTTCTTAGTAACAGCAGCCATATTTGATAACCGATTGGTATTATTTGCACAAGTAAAAGTCATTTTGCATGAAAATGCTTCTATAAAGTTTTTATATTTCAAATCGAACTTGTTGTTTCAAAGAAAGCGTTTATACGTTTTTTCTTCTCGTAACTGCCTAATTCTATCAAGCAGTTTCTAATAAGATTCAAGACTGTTCAAAGAATTGCATCATTTAGACAAAACTAAAAAGCTTGTATATCTCGATGATTTCTGTACGTTATTGTAAAGTTCAGTTTAGTGCTATTATAAAGAAATATATTAATGGGTTGTTATTGGCAGTGTCCAAACTTAACGGCTTTTTATTGGCAATAGTGAAACGTAATGACGGTTTTTTTATTGGCAGTAGTGAAACGTAATGACGGTTTTTTATTAGCAGTAGTGAAACGTAATGACGGTTTTTTATTGGCAGTAGTGAAACGTAATGACGGTTTTTTATTGGCAGTAGTGAAACGTAATGACGGTTTTTTATTGGCAGTAGTGAAACGTAATGACGCTTTCTCAGTGTTGTGCTTGGTCTTAAATTGGGTCAAATATTGTTCAGTAATTATTTAATCAATTATTGTTAAGTGATTTTTTTTAAACAACGATTGTCTAGTGCTCTCTATAAATGCATACTGCTTAGTGTTTATATAACTAAATAATGTTGAGTGCGTTTTAGAAATCATTACAATTTAATGCTTTTTAGCAACATAAAAATGTTAAGTGGTACTTTTAGATACAAATACTGATCATGACTTCGTGAAATAAATAGAATGCAGTGCGTGTAAGAAATAAACACTGCATAGTGCTTTCTATAAAGATATAATTAATTGCTTTCTCTATAAAATTAAAGTTAATTGCTTTCTTTATAAATTTACAGCTCAGAGCATTTTAAAAACAATTTCTTGATAAAATTTATTTGTTCTATAATAGACTCTAAAAAATTTGACTTTACTTTTATTGCGCTGTTTCTGATAATGTTTACATATTTGGAAATCAGGAAATGTCTGAAATTAATGTTTGGAGAGGGTCAGTGGACGAAATGTTATCTAATAATGTCAATAAATGGACGGCTGAGCTGAATAGTATAAATCGGAAGCATAATGAAAATTAATTTCGATGTTGTCATTACCAAGAAATGTTGATATCAATTTGAGTGAACATAAGCTTGCTTCAGTTATTAGTGCACAGTTTGGTTTACAACTTTAAAATAATATAGAAAGACTTTACTTTCATGCAATGAAGGGAATTGCCGCATTCTCTGCATTATTAAAGGTATATTGGTGTCATGTTTAAGACAATACATTCTATAAAAAGAATTAGTTTGGTCTCAGTAATTTGGAGATTACAAAACCATTAGTTAATTGCACAAGTCTCGTTTATTAAAGACTTCATCAGACATGTAGCTTTAGCTTGCAGACTACGTAATACATGAAAAATAAATGTAGAAAGTTATAAGAGTCATGAACGACTCACACTATTTATGTCAAAACTGTCAACAAATAGATAGGAAAACGATTTTGATTTTGAAAGCAAGTCATAAAGCTTGAGATTAGTTATTGGAAGGCTTTACTTCCATTCAATGCGATTATTGCAGCGCGTTTGATATGCTCTTATTCACTGTGCAATACTCTGAAAGAAAGAAAAAAACTTTATATACCCTGTATGACCGAATTACATTAATGTGTAAGAAGGAGGCAGATTTAGATCATGGTGTGGCCTACTTCATAAACTGTGTCATAACAAAGCAGCTGTTATAACACGGTATAAATAACTTGCATTACTTTTGAAGATTTATGTTTTATCAACTAAGCTAATTAATTCAAATTTATTAATCCAGACTTAACTGGATCAAACAGTAATTTCGGGATCGTGACAAGATCTAAGACACCTAATAAATGTTAAAATCTTAAGAAAACAAATTCAAGAAATCCTACAAGGTTTAAGTCTTTATGTCACAGTGGCATTTATCTTATGCACCCTAGTAAAAAGCTATAGAATAAATGATAAACAAAACTATGGCCGTCATCACACTTTTTCAGTGGTTTGCAAAATTAATTTGCTTTGTCTTCACTTACCTACGCAAACTTTATTGTTACACATTTCAGTTTCCACTGATGGGCCATTGCAGTCATGGACTTGAATGTTGTCGTAAGTAGTACAATTTCTGCTTCTATATTTGACACCTCCGCCACATGTCGCCGTACAAATTGTCCAGGAGGACCAATTATTCCAAGAATCTTAAAAACAGAATTATTAAGTATATAGCTTGATTCAATAGAAATCCTTTAAATTATCGGCATTATATTTGCCTTTAGAAAGATACAGAGTAATGTTCAGTATAACACATTATTGATGGAAAATAATTAAAAATTAAAAGTAAACGAAGTTGTAAACAGGTAATATATGCAGAATAGGGCTTAATTGGGGATAGCATCGGCAGTGGTCTTTCTTCAAAATGGTTATTCGGTCATCGTATGCTTACAATTGGCTGCATGCAATGGCCATCTACTTTTGACATCAACATTGTCAATGGTAAATGTGCAGATACATAACTTAACTAAGTAACGTAGCTTTAACAATATTTCAGTTACATCGCTACGTATGCAGTGTGACAGTTTATACAGATCTCTAGCATTGTGTCATCATGGTGCAGACATGTAGCATGATGTCCCACCCAGTCACATTATCCTGACACTAGGCCGACTAGTCCAACAACTAACCTCTTAATGTTGAGCGCCATGCAACAAATCTATCTGTACAATTTTTGTAAGTCTTTGGTATGACTCGACCGGGATTCTAAACCGCTAACTCCCGCATCTGAGGCGGACGCTCTAACCACTAGGCTACTGGAATGGTTCTCTGGCAAATAATGAGCTGAAATGTTAAACGTGTAAATCCCAATGATTGATCTGCGCCTATGTGACCTGTTAGAATGGTCATTTGGTGTGAGAACAGTTGCTGCCAATATTCAATTGTAAAAGAAAGTATTTACGGTGTTCTGTATAATTTTTCATTTGACCATTGCATCGTTTACAAAGGCTTAAGAAGACTGGATAAGGTACACTTGCCAAGAGGCGTCATGGTTATCACTAAAACTGAAATGTACGATGATGTTTATCAATCCAAAATAAAAAATGTACAGATGGAAAAGAATGGATGGTGTCACTTTGTTTCCTATCGTATTTGTGGATTTATCAGGATACGTTATCAAGGGTCAAACGTGCAAATATTTGTCCTAGCTAACTGTATCGTAAACCAGTCTCTGTTAAATATTGTTTCGACATATTACATCTGTGCACTGATATTGTGAGAGCCATAATCCTATAACTCCTACCTTATCTTTAGCTCTTGACCTTCTATTAAAGTTACATATTTTACCTTTTCTAGCTAATGCTCTTCTATATACCACAAGTCCACAAGATAGACGGTATAACGACTAAAGTTTCCACCATAATATTGTAGAGGCTCTCTAGCCGCTTTTCAAATGTGTAGCTCATGTATCATTGAAGGAAAATAACTCACTGCAAATCTTTACACAATTGTATTTGTTTCTTCTGTTTGTAATTTTCATACCGTCAAGTGGAATTAATATGCTGTAACACACAGAATACTTAATATTTAAAACTGCTGTATTTATTGCCGTTTCAACAAAGATTTGAAGACAGCTGTGTCCATTCGCTCCATCTAAGCTGATGTGGTTTTATTTATCTTATTTGTCTTTGCAATATTTAAACATAATATACATTTGTTTCCAGTTATACTAAATAAACAGAAGCAAACCATATTTGAAAATAACATTACTGCAGAGGATATACATTGATAGCCTTAGACCATGATGGATGTTTAAGCAAATATGCCTGCTCAATTCTTATCTAAGTTTTTTTTTTGACGTGCAAGTGAGCAATATGTAAAGACATATCTGAAAACACGTTAGAAATACAATTTACATGTTTTGTTGCAGTGAATCGTAGGATAATTATATTTTAACAGTTTTTAAGAAACAACAAAACTAAACAAATTATAAGAGTTAAAAAAGAAACAAAAAGAAAAAAATATGAATATGCTTGTATGTACTTTATTTATGGTGCAAGTTTATGTTTATTTGACTAAATACACATATATGCCGAAAGATCAATGTTTTTGAAAATATATGAGAATAGTATTGATGTACATATATATTTAAACATCAGAATTGTTAAAACTTGTGCCGATATACAAGTCGTGGTATTCGTAAATCCTACTACGATATTTTGGAGTATCATTGTTATAAAAATAGAAAAATAGATTTTCTTTAATGATCCACTAGGGATGGGGCCATCACATATTACCTTCTACTCAATTCATCACCAAGGCGTTCTAGTTCAAGGACATTGCACAGGAATCCTCTTGTCACAAAAGGTGACGCACTGCACCTGGTCTTGTGTCGGATCTATTTCCAGTTTGTTCGTCTTATTATTATTATTATTATTATTATTATTATTATTATTATTATTATTATTATTATTATTATTATTATTATTATTATTATTATTACGATGATGATGATGATTGTTTTTTTTTAATATATTGGTGTAGCTGGTGCAGTGATAGTAGTATTAGTTTTTAGTTTGGGGATCGCATTGGCAATGGCTTAAATACTGTGGACATCCGCATGATCTTTCTTCTGAATGTTTATTCGGTCTTCGTATACTAACAAGAGGATATGTGCAATGACCATGTACTTTTTATATCAATATTGTCAATGGCAAACGTGCAGATACATAATCTAACTAATTGTGTCGTAAACAAGTCTCTGGCAGTTAGTATACCGAAATGTTAAACTTGTAAATCGCAATGATTTATCTGCGCCTAGATGACCAGTTGGAATGATATATTGGTGTGAGTACGGTTACTGACAATATTCAACTGTAAAAGAAAGTATTTACGGTGGTCTTTATCATTTTTCATTTTACCGTTTTACAGTTTATAAAGGATTAAGAAGACTGGATAAGAAAACTTACAATGATGCCTCGTGGTCATCACTGAAACATAAATGTTGGAAGATGCGAATCAGTTCAAAATAAGCAATGTGCAGAAGACAAAGAATGGTTGTGCCACTTTATTTCCGTTAATCTTTCTGGCTTTAACAGGATACCTCGTCAAGGATAAAAGTGCAGATACTTGCCCAAGCTAACTGTATCGTAAACCAGTCTCTGTTAAATATTGTACTGACATATTACACCTGTGCATCATACTTATTTGTTACTGCATTTGTATGGGAAAATATGAACGAGAATTTTCGGATGGCTATTCTGTACGACCTTGGGAGTGCAGGATATCCATCCGTAAAAACGAGTTCATTTTTTTTCATTAAAATGCAGTAACCTTTTTATTATATGCTTATTCTTGTTTCATTACCAAAGATTTAATAATACAATTCACAACTAATTATATTTAATAACAAAATTGATTATTTTATTATTAAAAAAATAAAGTTCACAATCGTAGATTGCTTCAATGAACAAATAATAGCATTCATGCGCATAAAGCTCCTCCCACCGACCGTTGAACTTAATAGCGTACCGCGCGCTCACGTGCATCAAGCCCGTGGAATGCAATATGAAAGTGTTAAGTACATTTTTGGCCATTTTTATTAACAGCTAAAGAAGACAGTTTGTGTGTATAACTTACGTTTAATTGTGTTGACCCTGTGTAGCGTCTATATCTAGCTAAAATCTGAAACATCTGTATCTAAAAGTAAAAGCGGAATGTGTCAAAGCAGTTTGTATGTGTCAGTCTATGAAACATTTGCTGGTATGTGTCCTTCCTTGAAATATCTGCTTTAGTTCATTCATTAAAAAATTATTTACGTTAGAAAATAGTCCCTTTGCACGTTGGGTCCAGTATGAAGTTGTTCAATATCGTGGAATATTGAACGATTCTGACAATGTAAAGTTAACGGTGAAAAAAGATGAGCATATAATAATGACTAATACAAACTTTGGGATCTATTGGAATGGTACTTTTTTTGTTGATATAACTACAGCTCATTATATTCAATTTTAAAATAAATTATTCACTTTGCTCTTTTCCATTCTTCTTTTGAACTTTTTAACCTTTCAAGAAGTCCTAACAGATTGGATAATGTAAACATTGCAGGAGGCTTCGTTGTCATCAATGAAATGTTGAATGGTGCGTGTCAGTTCAAAAGAAAAACAAATAGAAAAACAGCAAAGAATTATTTGTGCAATTTTCCCTCACGTCGTGCGTTTTGTTCGGTAATCTTCCCTATTTCATTTACAAAGCCAATACGTCTTGGAATAATTAATAATGTCATTTTTATCTTGTTATAAAATAGTCAATAGTCTTTTTTATATTGTTATAAAATAATCAATAATGTCATTTTTATCTTGTTATGGAATAATCAATGATGTCATTTTTTATCTTGTTATGGAATAATCAATAATGTCATTTTGGTTCTTTTATTGTTTCTGAAACTTTCCCTATGTACAAACTATGAAAATGAATACGATATTTCGATTGTCCTACCAACCAACCAGCAGCATGTAGTAGTGCGGATTCCAAATGGCCCTTATTAAAATCCATCCATCTAAAATGTATGATACAAATCATTTTTCGAACAAAGGATGTTTATGCATGTTTTTGTTTGTATTCTTTTCATTGTCAATCTCTATGTTGAAAAACAACGAAACTTAAAACCCATTTACGTTATTCTTCTTTTTTGTATGTATGAGTATAGTAGTATGTCTATAAACACTTTCTAACCTTGTGCGATAAGATGTTTGTATGATTTTGTACATCCGTTGTCTTACAAAAACTCCATTCCCTTTTGAAAGTTATAGTGATTTTGATATCAATAAACACTGTAAACCTATGTGCAAATTATAAACGTAGGTTCATTAAGGTCCGTACGAAATTTGTTTTGTCGTTGTGAATTGTGGTATGAATTGTATTTTCGGTGAGGGATTTTTTCACCACCTTGCTTCAGGCATATTAATAGACGCATTCGCGAGTCGTACTATTAGGCTAACAGAGCGTTGAACAAGACACAGTAACAATAATGCCGTAGATGGAAATGATGATTACCGCAAAGGTCCTGAATGCAATCGAAGGCTTAGACCGCAGAACTGCCTGAAGTGGAACCCCAATCAACAATACCTCCACGTAGAGGAAGAACAATTTGATCCACAAATTAAACTTTGGAAGCTGGGTCAATACCTCATTACCACTTGTGGTCCTGGCAAGGCGGTATATACGAGAGGAGAATGTACAACAGAAAAAAAAAGAGGTCTATGAAGAAACTAGAAGAAAAGAAGGAGAAAGAAGCCAAACAAGATGAACGAGAACTGCTGAAACACTAAAACCTTTAGGAAGAAATTAGGGAGATCCATCAGCATTGCTATGAAAGGCGGCATCAACAGTATACCAACAACGCTTATCCTAAATTAGTTGTGGCAGTGTACAACATAGACGAGGCTATCGAAAGGGGACTGGAATAATTAACTGATCATCGAAAAGCAGTCCAGGAAGACAAGCAAGTGTTCCGATTGGTTATTACAGCATCCACGAGACTAAGAAGGGAGGGACACATCAAAAAAATAAAATTTTCCAACTTCTTCCAGGCAGGTTAGGAGAAAATATTGCTGAAAGCCAGTCTACTTAGTGTCACTGATTTTACATAAGCTCATCGAATCATTCAAAATTCAATCCTAATCCATCCCTGTTTGACAGACATCCAATGACCTTGTGAGTACTAAACTGGTTACTCCAAACAGCTCCAAGGGAGGGATGTAACACAGGTTTATCGAGCCAGACCATCTGAAGGTTTTCATGGTCCTGCCTTCTCT